TTTTTTGAGATGAGATGACCACATCTGTACGCAGTATTCGAGATGTGGGCATACCATTGATTTATATAAGGGCAATAATATATTATCAGTCTTATTCTCTATCCCCTTTTTAATGATCCCTAACATCCTGTTTGCTTTTTTGACCACCTCTGCACACTGCACGGACATCTTCAGAGAACTATCCACAATGCCTCCAAGATCTTTTTCCTGACTCGTTGTAGCTAAATTAGCCCTCATCATATTGTATGTATACTTGGGGTTATTTTTTCCAATGTGCATTACTTTACATTTATCCACATTAAATTTCATTTGCTATTTTGTTGCCCAATCACTTAGTTTTGTGAGATCTTTTTGAAGTTCATCACAGTCTGCTTTGGTCTTAACTATCTTGAGCAGTTTAGTATTGTCTGCAAACTTTGCCACCTCACTGTTTACCCCTTTCTCCAGATCATTTATAAATAAGTTGAATAGGATCGGTCCAAGGACTGACCCTTGGGGAACACCACTAGTTACCCCTCTCCATTCTGAGAATTTACCATTAATTCCTACCCTTTGTTCCCGGTCTTCTAACCAGTTCTCAATCTATGAAAGGACCTTCCATTTTATCCCTTAACAACTTAATTTATGTAAGAGCCTTTGGTGAGGGACCTTGTCAAAGGCTTTCTGGAAATCTAAGTAAACTATGTGCACTAGATCCCCCTTGTCCACATGTTTGTTGACCCCTTCAAAGAACTCTAATAGATTAGTAAGACATGATTTCCCTTTACAGAAACCATGTTGACTATTGCTCAACAGTTTTTCTATGTGTCTGACAATTTTATTCTCAACTATTGTTTCGACTAATTTGCCTGGTACCGACATTAGACTTACCGGTCTGTAATTGCCGGGACCACCTCTAGAGCCCTTTTTAAATATTGGCGTTACATTAGCGAACTTCCAGTCGTTGGGTACAGTAGCCAATTTAAAGGACAGGTTACAAACCTTAGTTAATAGTTCCACAACTTCACATTTGAGTTCTTTCAGAACTCTTGGGTGAATGCCATCTGGTCCCGGTGACTTATTAATGTTAAGTTTATCAATTAATTCCAAAACCTCCTCTAGTGACCCTTCATTCTGTGACAGTTCCTCAGATTTGTCACCTACAAAAGCCGGCTCAGGTTTGGGAATCTCCCTAACATCCTCAGCCGTAAAGACTGAAGCAAAGAATCCATTTAGTTTCTTCGCAATGACTATCATCTTTAAGTGCTCCTTTTGTATCTTGATCATCAAGGGGCCCCACTGGTAGTTTAGCAGGCTTCCTGCTTCTGATATACTTAAAAAACATTTTGTTATTACCTTTGGAGTTTTTGACTAGCGTTCTTCAAACTCCTCTTTGGCTTTTCTTATTACATTCTTGCACTTAATCTGGCAGCGTTTCTGCTCCTTTTTATTTGCCTCACTAGGATTTGACTTCCACTTTTTAAAGGAAGTCTTTTTATCTCTCACTGCTTCTTTTACATGGTTGTTAAGCCAGGGTGGCTCTTTTCTAGTTCTTTTACTGTGTTTCTTAATTTGGTGTATACATTGAAGTTGGGCCTCTAATATGGCGTCTTTAAAAAGCACCCACACAGCTTGCAGGGATTTCACTTTAGTCACTGTACTTTTTAACTAACCCCCTCATTTTTGCATAGTTTCCCCTTTTGAAATTAAATGCCACAGTGTTGGGCTGTTGAGATGTTCTTCCCACCACAGGGATATTGAATGCTATTGTATTGTCACTACTTCTAAGCGGTCCTGTTATAGTTAACTCTTGGATCAGCTCCTGCGCTCCACTCAGGACTAAATCTAGAGTTGCCTCTCCCCTTGTGGGTTCCCATACCAGCTGCTCCATGAAGAAGTCATTTAAAGTATTAAGAAATTTTATCTCTGCATTTTGTCCTGAAGTGAAATGTTCCCAATCAATATCGGGATAATTGAAATTCCCCTCTATTATTAGGTTCTTAATTTTGATAGCCTCTAATTTCCCTTAGCATTTCATCATCACTATCACTGTCCTGGTCAGGTGGTCTATAATAGATTCCCTAATGTTTTATTCTTATTAGAGCATGAAATTTCTATCCCTAGAGATTCTATGGAACATGTGGATTCACTTAAGATTTTTACTTCATTTGATTCTACATTTTCTTTCACATATAGTACCACTCCCCCCCCACACAATCTGTTCTGTCCTTCCAATATATTTTGTACCCTGGAATGATTGTGTCCCATTGATTGCTCTGTCCACCGGGTTTCTATGATGCCTATTATATCAATATCCTCCTTTATCACAAGGCACTCTACTTCACCCATCTTATTATTTAGGGTACAAACCTGTCTTTTGAAGCAACTTCTTTCCACCCTTGACGTAGGGCTGGGCCTACTGCTACCCTCCTCCCCTGCCGTTTGTCAGACAGACCAAGTATGGGTAAGCTAAAAAGTGCATGTTCCTACTCCAGGAGAGAAGCAAGCTCTGTGAGAATGCAAAACTTCATGAACCAGGGTTACCTCAGTTATCATTTGCCGGTGGCATGGTTTTTGTCTTGTGTTTGTACAGCAGGTAGCATAATGTATTCCTGGTCCACAGCTAGAGCTTGGAGCTATTACCACAAAAAACAACAACAACAACAAAACCCCAACTGCTGCAGGATTAACAAACTTAACACTCAAAGATTCCAATTTGAAAATAATAGGATGAGGAAAAGTGTGGAATATTTGGGGGGTGAGTGTAGGGATGGGCACTCCGTGACTATAAATTTTACACTGCTGCAACAGGAATTAATCTTTGTACTAAGGCCTATATACACCTGTATTGATGTAGTCCCCATCACAGTAGTAGCCCAGTGCTTCACCCAGATTAATTTATCCTCAACACCCTGTGGGGTAAGGCAGCATTATCTCCATTCAGCAGATGGTAAACTGAAGCACAGAGTAAACAACAGGCTCAAGCTCACACTGGAATTTTATGGCAAAGCTGGACATTAAACAGGAGCACCAGTTCTGTGCCTTAACCACAAGTGTAAAAGCAAAACTTGGTGCAGAAGTCAGAGCAGCCACAAAAGTTTCAGTGAAGCACCTGTTTAACTCTTCACATCACCACCCAGTGCAGTTTTCATCTAGCAGAGGCTATGAGCCTATGAATCAAGTTATACTGGGGCATGGGGGGAGGGGAAGAGAAGAGAGGGAGAGTTAAGCTTTGTTTATATGCAAAATAAATTGAAGTTGTGATTTTTAAACTCATTTTAACTGGTGCAAAACCCTATGTGAACACCCTTAAATGGTGAAATTCTCTAATGTGCCCCTCATCACAGTATCCAAGAGCCCTAGCTCATATGCTTTCATTTGTAAAGCAGGAGTCACCCATCCTTAACAGCACTTTCAGCTACACTTGGTCAAATATAATTAGGACCGCATACAGAATTTATCCAACTGAAATTGCAGAAAGAATGCTCTCCCTGCAGTCACGCATGCTAGGATTTGACCTGATATCAGAATTAAATTCTAACTCTCAAAAAGTGTTATGGGACCTTTGGCGGCCACAGATGGTGAAACCCAGTCATGTCTTGGCCAAAAGGTTGGAACTCTGGCAGTATGGCATACCATGCTGGAGCGCAGAAGTTCAGTGCCAGCCAGCAACAGAATGGATTCAGAGATTCCCAACAGACAGCAATTGGCAATATGGATTCAGATGGTATTCTCACAGTTCATATTGTTTTCAACTTAAGAGATGTAAAAAAAATTATTGTAAAAAGATGATTGTAGAAAAGCAAATCTTTTATTGAAACCATTTCTTAACAATGGAGCAAGTACATTTCAACTGAATTAGTTTGCCCTTTTCCTCCCATGTAAAAAAAAGTTAATAAAACTGACCAAAGCTTCAGTACAAACAAGTACCTGAAATGCTAATAGAAAGGAAAAGAATTAGGACTTTAGGGCTGAGTGTCCACCAATGTGGCAAAGAAAAATAAAAAAAATCCACAGATACACAGCGCTGCATATCTTTGAACAGATGGGGGTATGGTGTATCAGTACTTGATATGAACCCAAAATATCACCTGGGTTGGGCTTGGTTCTGTTTTAGGCAGTTCACACCAGTGAAGGTGGAAAAGGAGACACAATCTTCACTGCCATAAGAGAGGAATCAGGGCTAATACCAGCCACCCACGTTTGAGGAGGGGAACACCTTAAAAAAGTTTCCAGGAATGCTGAATATTTAAAACTTTGCATTTGATTCAGGCTGGTTTTTCAAGAGTCACAGTAGAATGCACATTCTGGTCAACACAGATTTGCAAAACGAAATGCCTTGTTGTTTGTGTTTAATCTTTTCAATTCTGCACAGCTAACAAAAAAATCAATCAATACAACGCACAACTTAAAGACAAGACCAAGCATGCAAAAAATTGCTGCCCTAATCATATCTACAGTGTGTGCAATTCTAGCAGAGGAGGAAGAGGGCGATGAGATAAAACCATTTTTAATTAAAGAGATTTTTCTAAACTGTCTTTTCTCCCAGCCAAACAAACTTTCTGGTCTTGCAGCCTATACATGCGTCACTCCACAGGAGATTTAACTTCATAAGAATTGCAGCATTGAACGTGTGAATCCATCAGTTTTTACTTCACCTGATGTTTATTTTTAACTGTTCTTAGAAAGTCAGGGTTAGAAGATGGGCAAACAAGTTGTACCAGAGGGTCACATTCTTCTCAGGGAAACATGTATCTGAGGGAAGAACATGACCTTTTGTGGCCCATACTGTCATCTGTTCACCCAAAAGGCACATTTCAATCAGATCAGTCTTCCACCCTGTTACACTGTAACTACCCTGCTGTGATTCCCAATCACGGAGTATACACTGCTGCGGGCACAGCATCATGAATCCTGCAGCTCAAGTCTGATCATAACCAACTTGTAAAATGCACTGCAAATCCCACTACAGCTCCACTCCCTACCCCCCAAAAGGTGAATATAACCTATTCTTAGGCCATCATGCTCAATGGCAGAAGCAGAAAGCTTAGCTACAGTCTGTACAAACAAGAGGCATTTTTGACAAATCACCACACAAATGTAAACAGTTGAGAAACAAGAGGGAAATGCAATGCCCAGGGTAAAATTATATTACATTGTAATGGGCACCCAGAGCAGTTATTGGTTTATTCATCCTTGTTATGAAGGGCTGACTCCAGGCACAGGGTGAAAGACTGTCAGAAGACATTTGCAGACAACGCTAATACACATGGACTTCCAGCAATTCAGAATAGTATCCACAAAACTTCCCTACCGCCACCATTGAGTGCCAATGTTAATAATGAGACCAGAAGCCTGCTACCAAGGATCAGACTGCAGAGGTCATTATATATGCAGCTTGATGGGATGAGATTCCATCCAAAGGAAGATTTGATGTCTTCACTACAGTGCAAGGACCACAGAAGGGCCACAAACATCCATAACCACACCCTAGGTACACTTATTTCCATTCAACTGCAGCATGATTACTCTTCTGCTTTTTGAAAGGAAAACTTCAGTATTCAAGTGCTATTAACAAACGTATATAATTAAGTTTAACCTCACTGCAGCAGTCTCCTGCCTGCAGTGACATTCTTGGGGAGCCAATGCAGTTTGACACAAGGTTATGAAATGGAACTGAATGCAGCGTGTTACTGGGAGTCAAGAGAGTACATGAGCAGAGATGGAAGGGATAGGCTAAAAGGCTGTCCTAGTGGTGTCTGAATTCCAAAGATCTCTGTTATGGAGAAGTTTCTGGTCTCTCTCTCTGGTGTACCAACAAGTTGGAGGAGTTTAGTTTCCACACAGTAGCTTGCTGTGTAGATGCTGTGAAAGATAGTATTGGTGATGGCAGGGAGACCTCTCCTAGATAGAAGAGCAGTATGACACAGTTTATGGTAGGAGGATGGGAAAATTGCAGTCCCTATAAGAAAAGTTAAGTGAGTCCTAGTTTTTGAGAGGAGCCTGGGTTGATTAGGGAGAAGGAGGAATTTGGTTACAGCAGAGGAAAATAAGACTTCAAAACACAGCAAAACCAAGTTTAATTGTGCAAATGGGATTACTTATAAGAACAGAGTTCAGCCTGAGAATGGCCCTGGGCAGGGAGCGTTGGAAGGTCCAGTTATCTGTCCTTCCTGCTGTCTAGATGCACGAGAAGACTCAGGAGGAAGCCTGTTCAAGCTGATTTGCAACACCAGTAGTGGGGTGCAAAACCTTGAGACAATGTGTTTCCTCTGCTTATCTGCTCCTGAGTGAGAGATTGCACCATAAGAGAGGAAAAGCTACACTAGGAATCCACAAATCTGAATGGTTAGTGGAAGTTCTGTTTGGGCTTGGAAAAACAGCAGTACTGAGAAAGGCGCCCTGATGGATTCACTGATAGCACTGTGATCTTCAAAAACATAGCTGCTGGGAAGTGCTGGGAGGGACTAGAGCTCTGAACTGTAATGTAAAAAAGTCAGAGAAAGTTTAAGGAATTCCGTAAGCCACTTTCCAAAACAGACAAAAGCATTTTAAAGAGAACATCAGGAAGAGTATTTTTTATTTTGGTTGAATAGGCCAATGGAGATCAATGTCAGATGCACATTCACAAGGGCTTGCATATGAAGTAGGTCAGGATCTCACTGGTGTGTTTTAGCAGCATGAATGTTTCCAAAAAGATATGAGACCATCACTGAAGCCAAGAGGTTTCACAACAAAGCCAGTCTGATTTCACAAGACACTGGGGGAGGAGGTTAACAAGAATAGATTTTTCCAGTTTTCATCATTCTGTGCCTCCTCATCTAAAACCTATTCCCATTTGCTGTTCTGGTTGCAGTCAGAGATTCACCATCAAATACTCTTTCACATCTTTAGTGTTCCAAATAGCAATTTATGATCCTTTTATTTTATATTTAAACTTTGAACCAAATCCCAACATCTTCCTTTAGGTCCCTATTCTCTGATGCCTGACACAGAACTAAGGGCAAAGAGATGGCTTTAGCAGCACTAGTCTAATGAAAAACGAACAGAAATCCTCATCCTAAGGCATGGAGCATCCCTCTCCACCAAATTCCATTTCACTTCCCCATGCATCAAAATGAGAATATACTTCCTGTTGGCCACAGCATCCTGTTTCCGTAATTCAGTACCTCTTGCAAAGAGCTCTGTGGCATGTTTCTGGGATACTTTAACACCTTCATCCTCACCAGATGAGGCACGGCCCAGAGTGTTCGTGCCAAATTATTTCCTAAATCTTACAGGCTTTTTTTGGTACTGTTTTAATCTACCAAAAAAAAACCAAAAACACAGCCACTTCTGGTGACTTCAATTGGACTGTACTGGAACTCAGCGTCTTCAGTGAGCACATGGTCATCTTTAAACATGTGAAAAGACAAAACAACTCACTCACTAAAATTAACAGTGAAATTCCCAGGAGAAAAAAAAAATGTACATCTCTATTGCATTTTGTTGTCAGCCTGTTTGTCATGTTCCATTTAACATGAAACTAAATGGGTCCATTATAAAAAAACCTGTTAAATAAATAGATGTGATGCTAGAAGAAATTTCAAGGGATGTTATAACTCATCATTCGTCCTGCTCTCCTCTTTAGCTTCTGGCTTCTTCTCACTCTCAGGTTCTATGTAATAAACAGAAACAAAAATAAAGTGAAATTATGCTTATAAAGTGACAAGCATGCTATACAATGTGTTTTTTGGACGCTACTATAATATAAACATTAAAATACTTCAACACACTCAGAGAACAGGGGATTGTAGAGTTGTGGAAGTATGCTTGGACACTAGTATTAGATTGTAGCTACTACAAGTGGCATGATTAGACACCAAGGCCTGATTCTTAAAACACTGATGCACATAAGTGGCTTTACTCATATGTGTAAGTGTTTGCAGAATCAGGCCCTTGAGTAGCCCAAAAATTCTATCTGATAGGTGGTGGCACTGGTGAGGACAGGAACAAAAATAGCCAGTTGCAGACATACCAAGGTGAGATAGAGATTCACCCATGCTGTGTGGGTTAAAAAGGAGGGGGTAAACCAGCATGGTCACATATCTTGCCACATGGATATTATTTAGAGTCACACTGTCAGGTTAAAAGTTGCTTTTGGAAAATACATTTCCTTCCCATGTTATAGACAATCCCTTGATTATTCGAGCTGAACAATTTCTAAGAGTTTAATTTACTTTTTACGCTCTACACTATTTGCTTAAAGTATACATTTAATTCAGTTTGGATAATGAAAATGTATTAGTTTCCTTGTTTATGGTCACTTGCAGGTTCTCACACACTAGCACAGGACTGTAGTGTTTGACTTCCAAATGCTGCAGGGAACAATTGCGTTAAAAGTCCCTTAGAACTTTCCACTGGAACGTAAAAACTGTCAAGAGAACATTTCAGTTGGTTAGGTTGTAGAAGTTTGGTTTTGATCCTTTCAGGGACACACTACCACTATAATAGTCCCCTAGTTAGGTACAATAGTGTCCTTCAGCCTCAGTGCACAGGAACTTAAATTGCCACATCAAATCAAGCCAACGTCCCATTTCCAACAGTGGCTGGAACACGCCAAAAGTTCTAAAGCAGATGTAACCATGTCTTCATAATAGCCCTAAGAAGACAGTTTGAGGTTTTAAATCAGTTAGTGACCCCTTTAGGTGGGTCTGTGTTGCAAGGTTTACAACCAGTTCCCCTTCCTCAGTTCTAGCGGTAGTGTTAAAGGAGCCACAGCTACCATTCCATCCCAGACGTTTTTCTGTAGCTGGCCCTTTCAGTTGTAAAGTTTGATTCACTGACACTTTCTCAGCAGCCAGAGGCTCCTTCTCACCCTGTGGTTCATTTGCAGGGAAACAGAAATGGAGAGAGATTTGCAACCAGTGGACTACAGACATCCACAGTCACTGAGTTCCATTTCCTTACACAAATGAATCCCTACCTGTGTCCGGTCCGGACTGATCACCTAGTGTTGCTTCCTCGACTATGGGAGGTTCCCTGACTGGACTGACATCTTCAGGTTTATCTGTATTATGGGGGAGAGATGTGCAACAAGTGGTCATACAAGTATGTCAAGCCCAACACCTCCCCTAGCTCTGATATAGAATATCAAATGTACAGATGAAACACTGGACAGGAAAAAAAGTTTGCCAATGTGGATTGTAAGTGAACCAATTGCAGCCCAACACTAGAACATTACTAATTTCTCATAATTGATCCCGGGAAAGCCAATGGGATGGTCAGTAAGGGTAGTCAATAGGAGCACTTTGAGAAAACACAGAAGTACCCCAGCACAGCGGAGGAAGCATCAGGCAGCAAGCCACAAGGGAAGAGTTCAGCAGGGATCAAGAGCAGCCAGAGGCAACTCTGGAGCAGTCAAAATAGTGTGTGTGGGGTTAGGGTTGTGTTCTGAGCTTGCCAACAGCCACTGGAAGAAGATCAGTCCCAGGCTGAGTTCTGAGAGTTGTGCAGGAAAGCCATCCCACGGGCTGGAGCCTGACTGAGATATCCCGCTAAAGGAACCAGGGCTAGCATAGGGGAGCTTTGTCCACAGACAGAGTGGTTTGATCTTTATAAAGGGACCAGGCACTCAAGACCTCATCTATCTTGAGAGCTAGGAGAGCTGTAAATCCTAGCGTCCCTAATGATGTGACCTAGGAAATCTCTGAAATCAGCTGGCTACCACTCAGGTAGCAGAGAATCAGCAGGTATCCAGAGCAAGATGTCACCTCTTAGAAGGCTGTGCCTCACAGTGGGGAGCAGAGACCAAATTGGTGCTGAAGGCGGTCTCTTCTCCAGGCTCTATTTAAGCCACAAAGGCAGACGCTTTCCCTACCATGAGCTTTATAAAACTTGGACACCTTCTCAAACCAATGTCAATGAAAGAAGATACAGAAGTAGCACTTGGAACATGCTATATTTCACCAAGCTTTCTCCAGTAATTCCCTGATTAGGAGGATCAGCAGCTTTTCCGCTTTTATCAAAGATTTCTCTCATTACAATCTCCTTTTGCTCAGTGCAAACAGCTTTGAGAGAACATTATACCTGGTGGTTCAATAATATCAGATGCTCACAGGAGCACTTGCCTGTCCTGAGTGTGCCTCACCTTCTCCTTTCTCCTCCTTGGGAGGGATAACCTTCTCGCTGTCGGGTGGAGCTGTGGCATTCTTGCCTGAATCAGTTTTTGTGGTGTTCTTTTCCTTCTTGGGTCTGGGTTTTGCAAACTTAGCCTTGTTCAGTAGATATTGCACCTCCCTGTCCAGGGCTGCTATCTTCAGCTCTATGTCCTTGGACAGCAGGGTGGGCTTCTCAGTGGGAGGAAGTTTATTCTGTTCTGCCAGTGTCTCATTTTTCCAAGTCTGCAAGGAAAGCCCAGGGTCAATCTCTCCCCATGAATACGCTGCTATTTCCTGGTTACATGAGTTACTGCTTTTAAACACACAATCCCAGACATAGCACCTGGGCATTCTAATTGCCCGTGGTCAACAAGGCTTCCACCCCCACATCTGCCAGCCTCTTAGTTCTACAAGACCAGAGAACAAGAGTGCCATTGGCTGCTCTTAAAACCGTACAAATATTAATTACTGGGAAGGCACTAGCCTCCCATATTGCACATGAACCAGCTGTATCTCCAATCGCTACATTTTTCCGAAGCAATATACAATCAAGTTTGGTAGCAGGGAGTATTAAAACAGAGAGGTTTTCCTAATGTGAGGAGAGGATGTACGTCCTCTGCTTCCTATCCCCAAGTGAAGGTAAATCCATTAGCTGTGACATTGATCACATTATCCAACAACACATCCTGAATGGACTCCCCAGCCCCTTCACTTACCACAGTTTCATTGATTGCTTTCTCTAGGGTACTCAGTTCCACCTCTGTGAATATCTGATCGGCCTCTGGAATCATTCGTGCTCCCCTGAAAGACAAGACCCAGGTATTTCAGGTGATTGGGGGTTTTGTATTCCATTCCCAATCACATTTAGTAGTGACAAAAATTTACCATGGGATTGGCCCACAAGTGGGTTTGCTAGGATGGTTGTATGGGGGTGGAAAAAGGCAGACCTGACCCTCCTGAGAATGGGTGTGCTTTGCAGTATGCATGGGATGTCATACTCTTTGTTCTGAAGAGTAATATATGGGCTTTGAGTGTTTCTATTAACACACTCCCTAAAATGCCTGTCAGGCTTTAGAAGGAGCCACATACCAGCCTCTCATACCAGCCTTGTTCCTCTATGGGTTTAGCGGCTAGCAGGCCAGATTCCATTTTAAGTAGTGGGTCAAACACATGCAGCACTTTTTGCACCACCCACAACTTCAAATCTTCTCCTCAAGGTCTCACTCTTACTTGAGGAAGATGCTGGAGTGATTGAGCAGATTTTCGAGGGCATTCAGGCGGTCTGGCCATTTCCTTCTTTCTTCCACACGGAAGAAAAGGCTCCTGCAGAGTTTCTTCAGCTCAGAGAGCTTCTCTTTCAGTTCCTGCAAGTGTGAGAAAACAGACAGGAACAGAACTGATCAGACATCTAAAACTGCTCCAAACCTTTAATCCCAGAAATATTGTGAATCCCAGAAGCTTGAGCTGCAGCAGTTTTGCTTGCTGTGCCCATCAGATGCACAAGTCCTGTACACTAACAGGAGTTGCGGCACTAGACACTGTATATGGAGAATGGAAAGTTAACTGCTTTATGTGCTCCAAGAGGTAGAGCAACAGGGATGGGAAGGGCTAATTCTTGTGCAATTCAGTGCTGGGCAAATTAACAAAAGGGTTTCCAAGTCCCAGAGCAAAAGGGCCAGAGTAGATCAAAGCTCACCTTTCCTGACTTGGGGACAACAAAGAAACCAAGGAAGCCTAGGTCTATTTGCCACCTACTGGCAATTCAGTGCAAACTGACACCCTACTTCCATGCAGCAGTACCTTGGTCGTGGCTCTATAGCCCTCCTCCTCCATCCAATTGGAGGCTTCACTCAGTTTTCTTGAGATTTCCTCTCTCTGCTCCTCCGTTGAGACAAACTGATATTCCTCCTGGTAAAGCTTGTCCTGAGAAGAGTAAAGGTCGCTTCAGCTTAATTGCTGACTAATGGGAAGGCACAGACAGCAAAGGAATCTCTCTCAACCTCCTGACAGAATGCAGCTGCAACCAACTGTAGGACTCCTGGGCTGTTCCATGCTAATGAGTGGAAGTTCAAACCCCAAATTTGTCCTCCTGCTCCTTCAATCAGCTGAGAGTGGGATGGGAAAGCTGACAAGTCCTCACATATAGGATAAGCGCTTTCCTCCTGCCCTCGCTGCTTAGAGTTTCTTTCCAGCTAGAGCGTGATGCTGCTAAGACATGCAGAGGAGGGGACAGCATATACAGAGCTTTTATGCAGGCAGAGATTTGATTTAGTATGCTGCCTAAGCCGTAATCTGGTCCCATTTGTCTTGAAGAAGCCTCCCAAAGCCATGTGGGACAGGGAACACTCAAAATGATGACAGATGAACTCCTCAAAGCAACCGCTCCCCACCTTGAAACAGATACAACCCTCTGCAGCCAGCTCAGCCCTGACAGTATACAACCTCTCCCACCTGCTTTTCATAAGCTTTCAACCCTTTTCATTGCTCTTACCTGGGTCTCAAAGATGAATGCCTCCAGGCTATTGGCTGACTTTTCCAACTCCTGTTTCTCTAAGTCTCTGACTGTCAGATCCTGGAGTCTAAAGTGCAAGGAGGCCAGAAATAAGCAAAAATATCAGCGCCTGTAAGAGGGGATGATGTTCTCCTTGCAGACAGGGATCTCTGTAGGCAGCAGTACCTATCACTCAGAAACCATTAACTAACCCATCAGCATCCAGGCCAGGCCAGTTACAGGATACACTTAGATGTCTTAAGGTCAAATCCAAAAGGTGGGAAGTCAGGAGAGATCTCTCCTAGTTTCAGTGCTCAGGATGTTTCTCCTTGAGTACTGACTGGCTAAAACTTTCTCCCTAATCCCCTCTAAACCAAAGGCCCCCCTAAAAATCCATCCGCACTATTGTTACCTGCACATGTTAGGGTAACCCACCTTTCCTCACACACATCCCAAATTTTCATTGGCTACACACTGAAACACGTCAATGAAAACTATGGCAAGAGAGATGATAGTTATAGTACTGCTCCGAACACTGTTCATTCTCCTCCCACCCAAGAGCTGTGTTAGACTCATTGGGCACTGATAGCATGGCTTGGCTACTATGATCACCAAGGGGGCTGGGGGAAGAATCCCTGTCCATACTGTGGAGGTGAGGGGACCATGTAAACACTGTCGTCACTAGCATGGTTACAAATACAACAGGGACAGATCTTTAATGTCTCACAGAGCCAGGGTGCCACTCCACAGGAGCTCACAAGACCAGAGTCGAAGATGGAAAAGATTAAAATTATTGGCTACAGCGATGTTAACTGGCCAGGCTGAGCTTCCCCCCACCTCACTGGGCGTAGAGAGACCATCTGGGATTCCCAGCCACTCACTGCAGATCTAACCTTCCCTCCAACACACACAGCCAGCGCTGTCTCCACTTCCAGCTCTTGTCATTTTCTAGTCTCAGAACTGACCCTTTTCTTGTGCACATTTATCCCAATTCCTCCCTTTGCCATTCAGAGTTTCTGGCCTTGCCACCTTTTGGGACATTTACCTCTAGTTTGTTTGAAAGGGCGGCTGAAAGAAGGATGGTGACAAGAGAAGGGTCAATACAGGTCGTGGAGGTGAGCAAAGTCTTGCAATGTTTACTACAGTCAGATTCATTCTGGGAATGGGAAAAGGTGATGTCATCTCTGCACATGACCTGAACTCAATAAGACATGCACCTCAGAATCTGTTGCTCACTCTAGTCCCTGTGCCCCAGCCCAGTCTGCTCCCATAGCCTACTCCCTTCACTTCAGCATGCTCCCCTCAAACTTACTTCTTCACTGAGCTCTTCAACTCCTCCTCCAACAGGTCAAGCACATCACGGACATCCAACTCCACACTAATCTCATCCACAAGTTTCTGCTTCTTGGGGACTTTGGGTTTCTTCTCTTCCATTTTGGTGGCTGTGCTGTCACCAGGACTTTTGGACATTTCTTCCTCTTTCCCGGATTCTTCCTTTTCTTTGGGATCCTGTGTCAGAGAAGCAACTCCAGGATAAATAAAACAACCTATTTGCAGTACCATCTCACTTGCAACAAATATTTTGAAGAGAGGCACACAAGAACCTGGTAAGGTGGATTTGAGCTCCCAGGGTTAAGCTAGTGTTCTACATCTATAAAAAATAATGTGCAGATCTGCAGTGCCTTAATGCTTCACAGGCTGAGAGACCTTGTTTCCGCTATGAAAAAGGTGTATTCTTAACTCTAGTTAGTTAAATAGTGCTAAAATCCTAGTGAAGACAAGGCTACTCCTTTTTCTTTAACCCTACCTGCTTGCTTGTGTGAGAATCTCAAACTGTCCTATCTTCTCTAGGATTTTACTTCCAGGTAGTTAATTGGAATAATAATAATAAACAAAAAAAAATCAACATACCTTTTTTCCCCACTGTTAAGGCAAGGCCTTAGTGCTTCCCAGACATGGAAGCCAAGGAACAAAAGTTAACTGAATGCCCAAGATTACATGGGGATTTCAGAACAGAACCCAGGAGTCTCAGCTCCCAGTCCCGTGCTGCAAACAGCAGGGCCCATTTCTATTCAGAACAGTGCATGACTGCCTCTCATGGACTTCTGCACACAACAGCTTTGCACTTACCAGCTCAAAATGGCACTGTAGGTACAACACAGCAGGATGGGGAACAAATATAAAGCGGCCTTGGAAGGAGAGTGGATTGATATGAATCTGAAGGGCAACGGGAAGCAATGCTGAACACATCCTTCTGAGGATGAGGCAATGTCAAGGGAAAAGGTTCTCTGCAGGGAAAACTCCAACAATGCAAGTGAACTTTGGCAAGGAGTCTCCAAACACTCAGCTTCAGACCCTGAGTGAAGGTCACTCCCCACTTCTGCCCCTAAGGAGCAGGGATTGTATTTCAGTGGCCTGTCAGTTAGGGATTTATTTTCAGAGATAGTGAGCAGGAACAAAACTGTGGTGCTCAGCCTGCGCACATGGGGTAGAATCTCTCACACCCTCCCCCATTATTTCCAGTCAGATTCTAGTCCTGAGGTACAACAGCACAGTGTCACCATTTTAGGGAGTCTCCCGTTGCAGAGTCAGCTGCTCACCTGAGATGCTGTTTTTTCTCCTTCCTCCTTTTCCTCCTGTCTCTCTGCTTCTGGAGGGACAGTTTCTGTTTTATCCTGCATTGGAGATGGCTGCTGCTTCTCTTCCCCCTGCTCCTCGCTCACTGTTCCTTCTCCCTCCTTCTGATCCTGTTTCTCCCCCTGTTCTTCTTTTCCTGCTTCTGTCTGGCTCTCCTCTTCCTCCTGGGCAGCAGGGAGGAAAATGCCACAGTTTTTACATGGAAATACCATGCAGATGTGTTACACAGAGAGGGCAGGCTCATACTGGAAGCTTGGTGTTCAACGTGGCACAGAGGCTACAAGAGAGGGACAGGCAGCGGGCAGGCCAATGAGGACTTCAGGAAAGTCATCATATCACCTTGGAACCACAACCCTTTTCTATGCTTGGGAAAGCGAACTGAGACTCCTATTGGCAACAACACAGGAGCAGCCAGGCCCAAGTGGTCTGTGCAGCAGGAGAACCTGCCAGAGCTTACAACAATGAGATGCAGGAGATGGTAGCCTACACAGCACTACTCAGAGAGGATCCAGAAAGGAGACTGGAATGACAAAGAGGCTTCATCAGGGAACCAGCCTTGGCAGCATTTGCCGAAGGGATTGCCACCAGAAGGGTTGTATGTTTATTTTTAACACCGTGTTAGACTTTGAGACAGATACAAACTTCTACATTGTATGGTTTTTAAATCTTGATGTCCTGCTGGTCACCCTGATTTGGTTTGTGTTTAACTACTGCCTCCTCTATTTTGCAGCCAGGACTGAACCCAGTCTGGGTCCCACCTCCCCATCAAAGCCAACACCTCACCTGAACAGTCTCTGTCAGGTTCTCTCCTGTTTCCAGAGTAGGACCTCCTCCTCCAAACAGGCTAGAGATTGTGTTTCCAAGTTCTGCAGGAGAAAAAAAATATAAAAACCAAAAAAAAACCTCAGAATGTCAGTCTTTGAAGCAGTCCGGAGAACAGTGTGAGAGGAGGAGGAGGAAGAGCAGCAACAGCAGGAGGAAGAGCAGCAACAGCAGGAGGGAGTGACATGCATCAGTCAGGGGTTTGGTAACTCATCAATGCAAAACAAATTTTCTTGACTTTAAAATCATGAATTCTGTAGAAGTGCCCCTCCAAGGTCCAACAGTAATCCAGGGGCAGCCTGGGATCCTGACAATATTTGCTGTAACAACTCTTGCACTACCATTGCTAGCTCTTTCCCTTCCTGCACATCCCTCTATATACGAAGTACTGGGCCCTCATCTCTGCAAAAGCGTAGCCTGGAATCTGCCTCTCCAAACGGTGATTGAGTTTTCCACTGTTCACTGCCCTAGGAGACCTCCACCCATATGCACTCTCACTCCTCCTTCCAACACACCAGCTATAAGTCTCTGCACTTGCTCTGAAAGCAGGACAATGGAAAGCTTCCAGTCAGTGGCATCACGGCCCAACCAATGAAGCACCAGATGCACAAGACCTTCCACTGCTGCCTTCAAGACGAAGGAAAGGGATTTGTTTCCTTCTAAATACACCCCTTCACTGAGGGAGGTGAAAATGCAGCTCCCTTGTATTACTCATGCATGTGGTGTATACCTGGATACCATGCTGATGGGCACCTTAGGAGCATATATGACACTTTCAGGGAGACTTGTCCCCTCAACTAGCAGCACATGCTCAGGGCCATTAGTTATTTTGGATCTGCTAAGATTAATAGACAGGTACTTGCGACCCTAAAGATTCCTCAGTGCCAAAAGAATTCACTATTCTTTAACAAATCCCATCAGGCTTGTCAAACTCACTACACCTAACATACTGCTTTTGTAGTATTTATCTATAAAGAATGTCACGTAAGATCTTAAATGAAAGCCAGGTTCTCACTGGTCATTTATATACGGTAATTGCAAAACATATGCACTGAAGCTATGTAAGGAGTTATGCATATATATGCTGGAAAATATACATTTTAAGTCTGAATCAAAGTAAGTTTGACAGACAGGCTTTTGCAAGACAAAAAGGAGTATATTCACCTGTTTGTCTCAGTTCAAATGTACATTAAACACTGTGAGCCAACACAACGGAAGATCTGTTTGCATATGAAATCAACATGAGATATGAAGTCAGCACACCAGGGAGTAAGCCCCAGGGGTAATCCTGACTCAGGGGACAAACAATGGATTTTTGGTGTGCTATAAGGAAAAGGATAACATTATCCTTCAGCGAGGAAGCAAAAACAGTGCTTTTTGCATTAATGATAGAGGAATCTTAGCTGGGTTGGCTGGAGACATTGAGAGATTGCTTCAGGTGAGGAACTACTTTAGACAAGTTAAGCAGCTTGTTAAAGTTAAGTTTAGGCTCTACCAAGAGTGTTATACTTTTTGTTTTACATGTAAACATTTCTGTTTCCATTATTGTTCTTGCTATTTCGTCAATCTCAGCTTTCAACAACTTATGTTTGTTTTCATTATAAATATATCTCGGTGCTATGATGTTACGAAGGACCTGATCCTGAGTTGTAACACTTAAGCTGTGTTTATTCTGTTCCCTTAGAGATAGCAAACTGGATAATTTCTGTGAGCGGCCAATGGTTAATGGCTGGGCACCACAGGGAATGCTCCGAGGACTCGGTGGGTGTCTATAGCTAACCTACACAGAGGATGAGGTCTGTGGAAGACTGGCAGGCAGTGCTTGTGTTGCCAGAGGCTGTTGGTTTCAGGAAGCTGAGTTACAACAGGCATAGATAAGACCGCTTCACACTAAGGGCAAGTAATTGTGAAGTGCCTCACAACCCTGGGTACCTGTGGGGAGTGTCAGAGTACTTCACTTAATTGGTCACTTGTCCCCAGCCACAGGACCTGTCTCTTTCAGAGAAATGTGGTGCGGTTAACTAGGAGTTATTATGAATTCAAAGCAACAGCTAGTCTGAATACAAAATATGAACAGTACAGTGTATTTACTTGTTAATGTTGACTCCTCCTCTGGTTTGTCCTCCACTACAGTTTCAAACACAGACTCCACCTGGAAACAAAGACAATGAGATAATATATTTAAAAAAGGTCTCTTAGCAGCACCTGTAGGGATAGGGTAGGGAGACTGCGCGAGGAAGGGAGGGGAACAGAGATGGCACTAGCTAGCTGGCACTTACCCGGTCAAGGCTAAGCACTCCACTCTCATCCATATTGAAGTGAGCTTTGATGCCTTTGGACTCATAATCTGAGTGCTTCCTGAAACTATCCCCGACTCCTCTCAGCCTCACAGTGGTGAGATTCAAAGACCCAAAGGCTCTGGGGGGAACCAAGGCAAGACAGAGAGAATGAACAGATACCAACCGAAGAAGCCTAAGCAGCAAAGTGGGCAGCCATCCCTCTTCCCCAACTTTACTTCAGCATTGTCTCCAATCTACTCCAGTGTTCCGGGGTTCTATTCCCAGCTCTGCCCCACTGGGGCCAATCACTTCTGAGCTTCAGCCAGATTTCAGACACTGAGCAGGCTGCCGTTTCTGGTGTTATTCATACTGGTTGACACACTTAGTGTCAGTTACACGCACGAATGGGGACCCGCACCCCATCTGCCATATTGCAACCGTTCTAATGCCACTCACTGGCAAAGTGTCTGAACAGGCAACAAAGCTGGGTACTTCTTCACACCAATGCCCTATGGTAATCAGTTGTTTCTGATGGGAAGGTCCCAGACTCAACAAGTGAGCCCAAGAACCAGAGCAGGGATAGCCCGAGAGGGAGTCTGCGCACGTACAAAAGAGAAGTTAGTGCTGGCAAAAGGTGTCAGAACAACTGTCTTGGAGACTAGAATCATCTGTCCACAGAACAAGCAGCCCTGAGGCAGCGGCAGTGTGAGTTTTCCCCATACTGGCCTCTCACAGTGGGCCTGACCTGGAGGTACTAGCTCTAGGATGAGAGGGGAAGTCAGTCTCCACACTACTACCACAGTACCAACAGCAACACAGGTCCTCTAACCGTTGGCCCTTCTGGTGAAAATGCCAGCTAAGGACCAGTTAAAATGGAGAGGAGACTTCTCAATACTGCCATGTTAGATAACTACACATAACCTGGCTTTCTCAATTATATAAGGATTGCAGCAAAGATTCTGAAATTGTGCATCGTCAGCCATCCATCTGCACGCAAGCTTCTCCAGCTAAGCACCTATCATCCTGGGGGCAAGTCTGTGCAAATGCCTGTCCCCACTCACTGCAGGTCATCCTGGCTCAGGAAAGCCAAGTCTCCGTAGTTGACATAGAATTCAAAGTCATCCGTGTAGCGGTTGAAGGTGATGACCTTGCGCTGTGGATATGGTGCCATGCGCTGAAACAAAATTCGCTTGTTGTGCTTCAAGCTCTTGGATTTATCCTCCTCCTCAACTTCACGGGTGAACTCCACCTGAATCATGTGGGTAAGGGCAGAGAATTAGCCACTAACAGGAACATTTTGCCCTACATTGCATCTTTGATCACAGGATTCCAAAGCACTTGGTAGACAATCCTGACCCACCTTATGGGGACTGTAAGCATTACCCCATGTTACCAGATAAAGTAGTGAGACTTGCCCAAAGCACCCAGGGTGAATACTTTAGTGTCTTTCCTTCCAGTGGCTCCATGTACGATTCCAGACTGAGCACCATTTCCCCTTCAGCACTAAAACCTGTAGGTTTCCCTTATGCCATTCCAGCACCACAAGGTCCCACTGCTTATTTATAATCACTTCTCCCAATGCCACCCCACACTATACCCTCCTCCCCCAAAAGAGACAACAGGGGAAGCTCACCTGGATGGGGAAAATAGCTGCATCCCGAACAATGAAGGGCTTGACCTTAAAGGCTTTGCTCAGAGCAGCCGCCTGGTAGACTGCACCCATAGCAGCAGCCTCGTCTGCATTGATATTCTTCCCCAGTTCATCTCTGCAAAGCAAGGTGGAGGGAGTTGCAAGCTTCTCTGTCACTAGTACAAACACAAGGTTGAGAAAAGGCACGTGGCAGAGGCCTCATATACTTACTTGCCCACGGCTTTCAGCAAAGCCTCCTGCACTTTGGGGACTCGGGTGGCACCTCCCACTAGAATCACCTGATCGATTTCATCCTAGGAGTTCACAGACAATCAGGTTCTGCCTTGAGAATGTATTTTTGGAAAAGCCAAGTTCACTGCTTCAATATCCCTCCACCATCCACTGTTTAGTGCTCGGAAAGCAGTTGCCCTACCAACCCCGCTCTCAAACACAAGACTGGGGTCCAAAAATCTTAAGTCCTTATTTCAGTAAACTCCCAAAGTAGTTGTGCCCGAGTGAGTACTTCAAGATCAGGCCCAATGGACATGAGCAATTTACAGAGCAGCTGTTTCCAGCATCTGGGACACTGCACCTTATTTAACAAAAGTCAAACCCAGATCAGGCTCCATGCCAGAGGAGCCAGTCATTGAAACAGTGGTCCAGAGAAGAGGAGATAGAAACTACAGCCATGAAAGGTGCTGATCCAAAGAGGCATTGCACGGCATCCCAGAGACAGTTATCTAGCTAGGGGACTCAGGAATCTAAGGCACCTGCCACTTTAGAATCTCTAAGTACCGAACAAATGAAGTGAAATGTCTCTCTGAAGATAGTCACATCCGGACATAACCACAGTCAGACATGCGCCCTCTGGAGAGAAATCCAGAGATGAGATTCCTGATCTATGGTGAAAGCTAGGCCAACCTCAGATGCCTCCAAGAGATGTGGGGGAGACATATTCTTAAGTCTTTATACCAAAATTAAGGGCTTTTTAGTAGTCAGTAAAACCCTGACCCGAATCCCTGGCTTATAGGCAACCAGTGCACATGGCAATCATGGAAACCTGTTTGACATGGTGTAAGTGCATGCCCTCAACCTTAGGGCGCACCCTTTGTGCCAGGACACAACATTGCTGGGGACTTCGCCTCTTGCACCTCCTTTGGTGGCCACTTTCTCAGCTGTGGGGACCATGCCCAGCCTGTCTCTTCCCTGGACTCCTTCAGAGAGTCTTCTGTGATGCAGCCCTCTGTCCATGTCATGCAACAGTCCAGTCCCCTTCTGGGGTTCAGCTTTAAACAAACTATTCACCTGACTTGAATTTTTTTAATCTTGTAGGCCCTAGCTCAGGACTCCTTTCCTTCAGAGAGACCGGTCTCCTCTCTATGTCCCTTGAACAGAGTTCCTTCTGGCTACTTGTAAAGCTTAGCTCTGCCTCCTCTGTCCAGGAGGTAATTAGTTAAACTCTTTCCCCCTCCCCCACGGTGCAGAGCACAACTAATGGGATCTTTTCCCTTGCCTTGCTGGTGATGGGGGTAAATCCCCATTACACATGGCAATGTGGTAACTTCTGCACTGCCACCTCTGCCCTCAGGAAGACAGGAGCCTGCACTTCTCAGCAGGGTGAGTTACCTTCCCAAACCAGACCCCTCTCAAACAGCAGTGGTTGTGATGTGACAGCAGCTCAGCATCAGAGGACCCCACACTTGTCAAAGTATCTCTGGACCTACCAGGTTCATCTCTGCGCTGCTCAGCGCCTGTAGCACAGGCCCTGGGACCCGCTGAAATAAGTCAGAGCACAAGTCTTCAAACTCTTGCCTGGAGACCTTGGCCTTGAAGTCCACGTCATCCAGTAGCCCCTCAATCTGGCCAGGAAGTCAGAGAGAAAAAGCCATCAGCTTCACATTACACAGCATTCTCCAAGCTAACGTTGTTCCGACTGCTACTGTGTTGGCTTGTGTGTTCCAGCCACTCCACTGCACCTTACGAATGCAGCCTATCCTCTTACATCCCAATCCCTCCCCCGGTGCTGGAGGGACACAAGACATGGTGCCTTGGATGTAACAGCTGTCTAAATCTCATGCTCCTGGTAGCCATTTAGGAACAGACCTCTCCTAATCTCCTGCAAAGGTCTAAACATTTCTCAAACTAGTAACATTACGGACTTGAGTAGCAAAATCCAAGTTCTCACCAGTTTGTTAAGCGATATCAGTTTAGAAAAGCCATCAGCATTGGTGTCTCCTGGGCAAGGGTGGAGGAAGAGAACATTGTAGGAGCATAAAGATTATGTAAAGCAGAGGGACAGAGCTCTCCCAGACTCACTCTTAACCCAAGTCATCCCCATTCCTGAGGAAGGGGGATTTCCTGCAGCACAGGGACATACCTGGGCCACATGGTCAGCATTAGCACTCAGGATAGTTTTCAGGCGGTTGGCCTCCTTTAGCAGCTTGGCCATGGCCCGGAGATTCTGCCGAACATCTTTCGAAGGCTGCTGCTTGTTGAAGAGTTTCACCAGGTAATCCCGGAGCCGGTGCTCCATCTCCAATCCCCCTAGGGTGCGGTCAAATCTGAGCAGAGAATAGGAACCAGAAGCAGACACTCAGCCTGGATGGATTACGTCAATAACGGAACCTGGAATTGCAAGCACCTTCCCCAGGCAGAAGAGAGTTCCTGAGCTGGCCTGGATCTTACAACTCTTACAAGAGCATGCAAGAATTCTCTCACC